TTCAAGGTTTTGCATAGTTAAGTAATAAACAAAACGGTGATACAAAGAATATGCTGTAAAATACAGAGATAAATCTGCCATATTTTACTAGGATATCACAAGGGCTTACAAACGTTTAGGGTATTTTGTATACCATATGTGCTTTATTGCTTAAACTGCAGAGAATTTCTACTTTCCTGTGAGACTATTACACTTTATGGCAAAACGCTTGAGGAATTGTCTACATATTTGTACAAGAAACGGTAACAACTCATATGGTATCATTATGGGACAGCTTCACCTCAGCGTGCACAGTATGCAGAGTTTTGCATTAAATTTCTATATAGCCTATGTGCAATGGACAATGTTGTTCCTGGAAATATAATTGTTGTGTAGTAGTGTATGGGGTCCATAGTCGTTTTGGAAGGCTGGAAATACAACGATCAGGTGTTGTCCACAAACGCAGTAGCTCGTGCGAAGAGCTCAGCTTATTTTGAAGGGATTATTTAACTGTTTTGTCACACTGTGTGTAGGTAAGTCTGCTTTTTTTTGAGCTTGAAACAATTCACGAGGTTGATATTTGCCCAATAAGACCCCACCATGCAAGTGGCACGTGTAAGGTACGTGCTCAGGTGTTGCAAAGAGAATTTATTTAGAGGATGTATAGCTGAACAGTTTTGAAGCCACAATGGCCTCTGGAGCTAGAGAGGCAATGAGGAATGTATTTATAAAATTATGCTTTTCTGTGTGTTTTGGAAAGTGAGTACCATCTACTAAATATTGCATTTTCTTGCTTTGTGCTTTGCAGAAGGGAGGTGTTTCCCTGCCATTCCCCATTAGCTGACCCCATGCTCCTCCACTATTTGAAAAAAGGACCTTTGTGTTTAAATCCAGAGGGATGTCCTTGAGGGTTTTAACTGGTGCCAAACGTTAGGGAAGACCCTGGGAGCGAGATGCTCAGGGGGTTCAGTCGTGCACCGTGCTGGTGCAGATGCTGCTGCTTCCCTGCCGCGGAGGCTGGATGCCAAGTCAGCATCCTCAGGTAGGTGAGGACCAAGCTGTACCTGGATTAAAAGTACCAAAGTCAATACCTTGAATTGCACCTTGGAGCAAGTAGGAGGGTGTTATTTCTGTTTCGCTGTAGGAAGCGGTAACGGTAACCCCCAGCAAGGCACAAAAGCTGAGCAGTATTTTTGTTGCAGATTTGATCTGGGATTTTTGAAGCAACAAAGGACCCAGTAATAGCTACAGCCTATAAAATCTCCCAATAATAGGATAGGATTTCTCTTCCTTACATCCTCGAGGTATTAAAATGAAGAAATTAAGCCGCAACTACTGTTCATTAAACGCTGAGGGACTGAGTTAATCTGATAAATGGGAAGATTGTTTTCAGGCAGGAGAGGATGAACTGAGATGAGTTGCAGCTTTTGGGTTCACTGGAATTGATGCATTTAGGATCAACTGTTATTTCAGCCAGCTTCTTTGTTTGCCGTTTCAATATTCTAAAAATGGTATTTCCTGTCGCATATCTGAACGAGATACCACACATGCTTGTAATTTAAATGTTATGGGCCGCATAACATGTGGTAATGGAGATCAATGGCATCTTGTATCGTTTTCCTCTTACCCAAAACATTTGGGTTATGTTTACGTGGGTCCCATGGGAGCCTTCTGGAGGCAAAACACATCTATCCCGAAGCCTGAGTTCACTGCAATTTTGAGGAAGAACATCCTAATTCTTAAGAAGGAATATGGAGCACTTTTTAGAACAAAGAAGAACTTGAGAGAAAGGATTGCTTTATTGTGTTGTGCAGATGTAAAAGCATCAGAGAACAAGCTACGTAAAGTAGCATAAGGCTAATTTTTTTTTTTTTAATACCAGATGAATGGTGCTGCACATAACACACGAGAGGGTGCATTTTCCTTTTATTAGCATGGCATTATACAAACAGCTTTTAAAGATCCATTTGGATTTTTTTCTCCATTCCTAGTAGTCAAGTTTTGGGGAACTGCTATCTATTTCAATGCTTACTTCTTGCATGTGTGTTTTTGTTAACATCAGTATCTTTTTTTTCTAAAACACATATCTGGAACAGTAATAAAAGGTGAAACCTACAGCCTCTGACAGGTACATTGAGGGTATTGTAACGGCAGATGAAAGCTCCATCTGTGAAAGCGGTTTTCTTCATAGACATTTATTGACTGAAGTTAAATATTTGGCAGGTGAATTTCAAACACCTTTATGTTTTGTAACAGGAAAAAAACCTGCCAAATAATCTGTAACATCACATTTTAAAAACTGAACAGTAACAGACATTGGGGGGAAAAAAAAATCGACATCTGGAAATAATAAAGGACGCTGAAAAACTTCATTTCTAACAGGAGAGGGAAACAGGCTGCAAAATGTGTTCTTTACTGTAAACAACATTTGTATTTACTTACAGTCCCATTTTATGTTTTCTTTTTCACTGGCGCATCTCGGTGTTTTGTGATTTGTCCCTTCAGCGCGGCTGCGGCCGTACCGAATCGCTGCGCCTCGTCCGGCTGCCGAACTGGCCGTCGTTTCCGCGGAGCTTCACGCCGTACCCCTGCACCGTCCCCGGAGCCCCTCCGGAGAGAAAGGCTTTCTCTCCCCTCGCTCAGTGTGGTTTTTTCTCTCGCTGGCAGCCGCTTATCTCTTCTAAATGCCGGAGGAGTTTTTAATGGCAGGCTTTGAGGCCGCTTCCTAATGCTCTCCATTTACCAGCGTGCCCCACGGTCCCGGCTGTTGCAGAAAAAAGACACGCTCCGAGTTAGCATCACGTAAGCTGTCGTTAACAAACGAGGCTTGCTGAGACGAAGCAAGGTCTGAAAACTTTGAAACTTCCCGATCTAGAAATAACCACTATATACTGCTGAAGGAGCAGTGCCGTCAACTGGAGGGCGGGGAGGAGTAGGGTGTGGAACGGGAGGAAAAAATGATGACCAAGTCAGAGAACAAATGGCTGTGATTTTTCTTTCCACTGCTACACTTTATTTTGATGAAGTGATTGTGTGGGTGAAGGGTACACTGGTAGTTTTGTGTGTCTGAGCTATGATAGTGATTTGTAACTTGTTTGCTCCTTTTCTCTCTCTCTCTCTTTGTGAGTGGAGAGGAGAATGCTTATAAAATAACTAGCATAGTGCAAATATTTTTACTGAACAAAAAGGTCGAGAGTTCAAAAATTAATGAAGGACCAGAGTCCTTCTCCATTGCAAGCTCTTGTTTGCTTGGCTGCAGACTGAGTGGGCTGTGCCACAGTTTATGGTACTTTCTTAGCAGCTATAAACTGGTTGAAAAATAGTGGGGAAATGGTAAAAATAATGACTCGTAGCATAAGATTTCACTTGGCTGAACTTTGGCATCTCTAGAAACGAACTGTTCTCCAAATGCTACAGATAAAGAATGGCTTTTGTGGTTACGTGATTATATGCTGTAGCGCCCTGCAATTAATAAACAGCCTAAATATGGCTGGCTGTGCACGAAGGGGAATAGCTTTAAGTCATCGTTATCTAACCTTAATTGACAGAGTAACGTATGTGCAGGTGCTTTTTTCTATATGAACTTTGCCTTCCTTGTGCTTTCAGGCAAACACGAATATGTTCTGACATAACAAGAATAACTTTTTATCAAATGAAAGATGTTTATGTGTGCCCTGTGGTGCTTCATTGTACTCGATTCCTCCTCAGTCATTAGCGATTTATTGCTCGCTTCTTCATCAGTCAGGAGCAGTGGGGAGGAAGAACTTTGGGGATGACATACCCTGCATAAGGATACAGTCAGCATTTACATTTCAGTGCATGATTTAAAACCACGAGGGCAAGGTTAATTATTTACTGGTTGCGGTCCTGCTCCGAGGACATCTAGCTGAGCCCTTTACCAAAGATACTTTTTTTGATGAAGTGTAGTTTATTAATTGCTTTAAAGACCTGTACTTTTTCCAGGCCGCCAGCCAATTCAGTGCTTAGCAGACGCATATGTTGTTACTTGGCCTTGACTTGTGTCTCACCACCATTTTATGTCCAGTGGATGCTTGTAGTCTACCCTTCAACAGGGATGTATCGCTCATCCTTAGGGCTAACTTTCTTGTTTATAAGTCTAATGCTTTTCCACCACTCCGCCCCAATGTGTCCAGTCTCTAAGAGCGTAAGTCAGGGTTGAAGGAACTGATGTGAAGCGATTCCTGCCCAGGTCTGGAAGGCGTCTGGGACCAGTCTACGCATGCTGCTCCTGGCAGGAGGCACTTCAGATAGCAGCATGGAGTGGGTGTTGAGTGGCAGGCCAGTTCTGGTGGCCACAACCCGCTCCCCGCTGCCTCTGAGCTGGGGATGCTCGTGCAACCGCCCCGTTGCCTCTGTCCATTGCAGGAGGAGAACGTCTGCCTTGGAGAGACGTCAGGAACTGGCTGCTCATTGCGTGTTGTCTTGGTGGGCTGCTTTTGCCCTGATGGCTGTAGTATGCGTACCTTTGCCACCAGCACTGAGTTGCTACAGCTTTTCAACAACAACAACGAAATCCTCTCCCACCCTCCTAATTTTGTTTTTGGAAACAGCTGCGCCATTCTTAGTAAAATGCCGTTTTGTTTAATGGGGGGAAGGAGGGGAAACCTCACCTGGAGCAGATGCCTAGAAAGGAAAATCTCTGTCCATATTCCAAGCTACACATAAGCTGTACAGTAGAAAGTGTTATTATGCAAGCGGTCCTGTACCGCTACGGGACTTTCTGCTCTCTCTGTTCTGGAGGCTGCATACAACAGATGCTCTGAACAGCCCATAAAGCTTAGATCTCCCTTTGATCCCCAACCTGGGAGAGCAGCGGGGATTCATGGGCAGTTTATCTGTTTCTACATGGCTATCTCAGATTATACATGTAAAACACAAAGTACACTGGATTTGTGAATGGCATGCAAATTTTGAGCCTTGTGTGGTTTGAATTTTATAAGGGTTGGGTTCGTTTTGTCTTTCAAGAGAATTTATTTCTGCTTATGTCTGTTTCTTCATAGATGGTTTGTGGATGATACGTGTGCAAGTGCCTCAAGTTTCTCCACAAGATGTGTTCCACAAATCCAGCAAATTGGGTCACCTTTGATGACGAGCCGCTCTTCCAGTCACCTCAGAAATCAGTTGATAATCAGAGTAGCTGTAAAGCAAATGGCCTTAAACTCAATCTGTCTAGTGTGCATGAGTCTTCAAGTAGGTCATCTTCTACAGGCAGCACTCCGCTCTCGTCTCCTGTAGTTGACTTCTACCTAAGTCCTGGCCCCCCCAGCAACTCTCCACTTACTACACCTACCAGAGACTACCCAGGAAGTCCATGCATCCCAAAGCCTGGGATTCACATCCTTTATCCCATCCCTGAATGGCCAGCAAACGTTAACCTTCTTCCATCACCCGGGACTTGCTCATCCCTAACCTCGCAGAAACGGAGCAGCCTTCCTTTGAACACCTTGCCTAATGACCATCCCGTTAAGACTTTGGTCTCCAAATCGACAGAGGAAGGAAGCCCTAATCCGCCAGGAAGCTGCGAGGAGTTAGGAGAGTCGTCATCAGCACCGGGGCGCTTCCCGTACTTCCAGAGCGACTGTGCTTTTTCCAGTCCTTTTTGGAAGGAAGGATGCTCCCTCAGCGCATCGCCAGCTAGTGTTAGCACACACAGAAAGGACAAAGCGCTCGACAGGAGCGCCTGTCATCCTAAAGACAAAGAAACTTGCCATGATCAGAAAAGCCTTAACCAGGGCTCCTTCAGCTACATCTGTGAGCGGCTTGAACACCTGCAAGCTGATAGCTCTGACGCTGCGGGAAGCCCACCCGTCTCCAGCGCTCACGCGTGGCACAAGCTCTCCCCCGCTGTCCCACGCAGCCTCTTCAGGAGCCGGAAAGTGGATGGGTGGCCGTTCATGCTGAGGATTCCTGAAAAGAAGAACATGATGTCGTCTCGGCAATGGGGCCCTATTTACCTTAGCGTCCTAGCCGGAGGTGTATTGCAGATGTATTATGAAAAAGGCCTGGAGAAACCTTTCAAGGAATTCCAGCTGCAGCCACACTGTAAGCTGTCCGAGCCCAAATTAGAGAGCTATAATGTCTCAGGAAAAATCCATACTGTGAAGATTGAGTGCGTGTCTTACGCAGAGAAAAGGAGGTATCATCCCAAAGTAGAAGTGATCCATGAGCCGGAGGTTGAGCAGATGTTGAAGCTGGGCACCACAGATTATAACGACTTCACCGATTTCCTCGTAACGGTCGAGGAAGAGCTTATGAAACTTCCTACTGTTTCTAGACAAAAGAGGAATTATGAAGAGCAAGAAATGACTCTGGAAATAGTGGATAACTTTTGGGGGAAAGTCACTAAGGCAGAAGGAAAACTCGTAGAAAGTGCCGTCATCACGCACATTTACTGCTTGTGTTTTGTGAACGGAAGCGCCGACTGCTTTCTAACCCTGAATGACCTGGAGCTCCAGAAGAGGGACGAGCGTTACTTCGAGAAGGAGGAGGAGAAGAAATGGATTGATATTCTTGATTGCCATTTCCATAACTGCGTCAAAGCGCAGGAATTCGAGCAATCGCGAATTATTAAGTTTACGCCCCCCGATGCCTGTAGGCTGGAACTGATGCGTTTCACGACACGGTATAATGGGCAAGACCTTCCCTTTTCCGTGAAAGCTGCGGTAGTGGTTCAGGGGGCATACGTTGAACTTCAGGCTTTTATAAACATGTCTTCAACTGCTCTGATCCCAACGCGTTTACCCTATGTGAAATACTGTGAAAACGTTATGATACGCTTTCCCGTTCCCACGCAGTGGGTCAAAGCACTTTGGACCATGAACCTCCAAAGGCAGAAGTCCCTAAAAGCAAAAATGAATAGGAGAGCATGCCTTGGCGCTTTACACGAGGTTGAATCTGATCCTGTGATACAAGTCTCGGTTGGAACAGCAAAATACGAGAGTGCCTACCGGGCTGTTGTGTGGAAGATAGACAGGCTTCCAGATAAAAACTCAAGTAAATAATTTGTGCTATAAAATGATGGGCTTGGGTGCACTGTTTTTATGCTTGTGTACCTCCATCAGCTTCCATAGTTTGGATCTTTATCTGTGCGGTGGTATTGGTAAAAGCTGGAGTAACCTTTTAGGAAAAAGAGAATATAGCCTTTTTTTTTTTTTTTAAGGACATTTTCCTAATTTATTCGATGGAGGCAGGTGTATTATTGTCAGTAATTATAAGTGTGCAATATCATGGAAGTGGATCTCAGCATTCTGAGTAAACCTCAAGTCTGTAGTAAGAAAGAGGGAAGGGTTTATGCTTCGCATATACCAGCTGGGCAATGGTGGGATGGGAAGCAAACGCTGGTAGGTAAAATGATTTGCCCACCCAATATCACAGAGTTAATAGAAAAGGTGGTATTGTAACTGTTGGGTCTTGGCTTTCTAGCATCATTTAAGAAACGGTAGGTATGATACATCACTAGAAGGTACTGTGGTCACACTTGCTGTAGGAAGTTGACTGTGCTTTTGCAAAGGCCAATATCCGTTACCTCTTTTATGGGTTTGTGCATGACGATTGTACATCCATGGCAATAACTGCACTGACAAAAAACGCCTCCCACTTTACTCCCATTTCTCTCTGATGGTGGTACCTCACTAAAAACTTGCAGCAATAAAACCAGCTAAGTTTATAGTTGTGCGCGTGGAAGTTGTTAATTTCCCACTAAGTAAAATAGTTAATTTACCTTAATCTAATGGAGAAAATATGACTTTTTGGAGAAGGAAAATACAAACATATGGGTTTAAAATTCCATTTTTTAGTCACATTACCAGATTAATAGCCCTATATAGTATTTTTCTAAAGACATAAAAATTCTTGAGGCATACAGTGTTCTGCTTCAAGTTCTGTAGAGTGAAGGCATTTGATCCTTTGCTTGGATATGCATTATGTGTATTTGAGGCTTTGGGAATCTGTGTAAGACAAGGGCATCTGTTAAAGCATTTTGCCTAAAATATCTGTAAAATCTGTACTTTTAAGAAGGGGATAAGTGTGTAGAATTAACAAATGGATTGGCCTAGTCTCGTAGTATCCTAACTATCTGGACTAACTACCTCTTTAAAATGTCTATAAAAGATTTAATCTTAAGTCCTGGTTTCAGGTATGCTAGTACTAAGTTGACACATCCATTCAGGTTCTGACAGCTAGATGTGTGTGCAGGTGAGAGTTAACATTCAGGACTATTAAAAAAAGAAGAAAAAAAAAAAAAGTAAAAGCAAAAAAATTCCTGAGGATTTTTTTTGCTCATTTTTAACTAATTGTAAGTTATATTTGAGCTGACCTGTTGGTTAGGTAATTATGACTTTATTTTATTTTATTTTTTTACAGTTTGATATATGATATTTTAATTGTGATTGATATTTCAGTTGCAGAAGTAACAGATCAACAGAAAAACTGGGGCAGGAGCAAATGAAAAGGGAATATTATCCTGAGCTTATATATGAACTAGATTGCTTTTGGTATTAAAACTGCATTTGAAAGCATCCTACATCAACATGCTAATGTGGCAGTTGTGAGAGTATGAATTACTGCATGGCTACTGGCAGATGAGAGCTAGTATTTTTCCTAACGATGCTGCATGGAAATACTGGTCCCTTTTGTGTGCAGACTGGGTCTTGCTTAGGCGATGAGGTCTCTCAAACCTTGAGCAGTTGTGCCTTTCAATTCCTACTGATGCGCACCGCGGGGGGAACGGCACAAACGCTACTGTGGTCAGATTCGGAAATGACATCGCGTTAATGCCATCTCTGTTCTTCCCCTTCTTTTCCTTTGGAAAAAGCTCTGGTCGGCTTGGACCTGTGGCTAATGCCATATAGTTCCTCCCGAACTGGCTGAGCCCTCCCTTTTACATGCTGCTTGTTACTCGGGTATCTCACGCTGTGCTCGGAGAGGGTGCCGGTGGCTGCCAAGCGATGGGCAGCGGGAGAGTAGAGGAGCCGCAGCATCGGCAGACGGGCTGACACGAGGCAGGGAGCCAAGCCAGAATTAACTGGGGGGGGAGAAAGGACAGAGAGAGGCGAGATAAGGAGAGGCAGTAAGGGAGGGCTTGGGGAGACTGGAAAATGGACAGGGAGGGCAGAGGAGTTGATGGAGAGATGCAGGAGAACTAGTAGGCAGAAGAAAATTCTTCAGGTCTTCAAAAATCTGTAGATATGGGTGTCTTGTACTCCAGGCTTCAAGGATTTGCACCGTGCTGCTGTGACCCATGTGTTTTCCCAAGGCTTATGGGACTGACTGTCTGGGTAGCTTTTAATATTCTTTGCTATTTAACATGAGTTTGCTTCTGCAAAATCAAGTCAGCAATTTAGTCAGGCAATTTTAAAGAAGATTATAAGTCTTCCAAAGTCTTTAATTCCCTGCAGTTCATTTACCTTAAGATTTGATGTGCACAATTAACTTCAGTTTTATATTATTTGAAAGTAAGAACTGTTTTTTGTGGCATTCTACAGCTTTACATTATTTTCTACCAGTAGCTTAAACTTTTGACATTTGAATAATTCCTCTGGCTGAGATCTGCAAAATCATTTGTATCCTTGAAGTGTGTATGCATTTGAAAAAACATTTTGGTAGTAATACTGCCCAGTCAAATTTTAAACCTCTCTATCAAGATTTCTGCATGCAGTTAAAAGTTTAAAAATAGAGTTGTCCCAAGGCGTGCCAAAAATCTGGAGGCAGTCAAACTAATAGAGATATGTAAACTTTCATAATACGTTTACTGCAGGGAGAAAAATATGCCAAGGCTTTTGCTTTCAAAAAGCCTTTGTCCAAGCCTTCTTAAAAAAAAGAAGGGAAAAGGAAAGGTTGCCTACAGTTATATTGTGACTCTGTTTACAGACATCAAAATATGTTAGTGTCCACTGGATTCTACTAAAGTGCTTCCTTGGAAGAGTGCTGGCCAAGCAAAGTCGATGTGAGCTGCGATATACCCCAGATTTTTAAAAGCTGCCTATGCTTATTCAGATATATAAGTGGAGAGTTTGGAGCCAGAGTGTTAGCATTACTTAAAGAAAGAAAAAAAGTTAAAAAGCCATAGACTTCAAAGGGTTGATCCAATGAAATTTCTGCAAATTGAGTCTATATTTGTGAAATTGGAGCATCGTATAAGGAAATGTAGAACATGTTAGGATTTCAGCACAGTACTGGGGCCAGTCTTTGCACTGGAGAAGCTGTATGCACTTGTGTCACCCAGGGAGCTGGAGAGAGACTAGACTTTGAAATGCTGTGTTTTAATCCCTTGCTGTGTAGGTTTGTGCCCTGAGGTGTTTCCTCTTAGGACACCTCCATCCTTGGGCAGCTGTGTAAAGCAACAGTTCTTAAGCTGATTATTTCTCCTTCTCTTCTTCATCATGGAGCCACACTGAGGAAGCAGTGATTAAGCAACACAGAGAAATGGAGCCAGGGGAGCTTGTGGCTGCTTGGCAGCCTTTCAGCATCTGAGCAGGGGCTCCGGTGTGGGAGGTAATGTGGTTACCAGCAACCTTCAGCTGCTGCTTTTCTTATTTTCTAAACTGCCTAGGTGGAAATTCCAAGCCATGACTTTGTCAGGTGGGCTCTATCCCTGCCCAGCCACCTCCTTCTGGCACCAGCACCATTGCAAACTGCTCCTGGGTGCCGGTACCTTCCCACTCCCCTATTTCCTATGCATTTCTCCTGGAAGGTTGGATAAATGCACCCATTTAGACATAGCTGCAGGAGTTGTTAACTTCTAACAATGCTAATGTAAATCTGTTCTTAGTAATTGTTGATGTTTTCATGTTGAAAATAAGACTTTTAGAACTTGACCTATTTTGGCAAAAATAGAATGACTACTACTTAACTAAAATAACCAGCACATTTTTTTTTAGCCTAAATTGCTTGGATTCATGGGTCTTTCTCAGATCAAGGTTGCCTGAACACTACTCATACAGGTGAATAAGGGCTACATAGTGTGAGTAGATGCAGCAAAGTTGGATGTTTAATTGTTTGTGAAGTGCTATATGAATGCTAAATGGCAATTTGAATCTAGTTTCATAGTTTTACCAATCTTTGTTTGTTTGTTTTGGCTTTCTTGTTGTTATTCTTCAGAGGAAGAGAGCAAGAATTTGGAACATTTTTAGGAACTAAGAGCCAGATTTTCAGATGTAAACCAGGAGAGACTTAGATCTCTCAATTCACAAAAGTCTTAACAAGTTGCCTAGACACATAAACCACAGGGTTTCTGTCTCCTAAGTTAGCTAGTAAAAGCTCAGTTATCTCCCCAAATTACCTGGTTGCTTTTCAGGAGTGATTCGATTTCATCAGTCTAGATGGTCATGTCTCCACGATGTCTGATGGGCCACGTTTTGGATAGCTGGGCTTGCATCTGAATATCTTGTCTTAGCTTGGTGTACAAACTTACACTGTGTCTAGTCCACATCACTTGTCTTTCCACACCACTACCTTTTCTCTGTGTCTGGCCAACATCTTGCTTTTTCAGCATTACAGTTTTTTTGCAAAAGAATCTTTTTGTACATGCAGCCTCTCTTTCTTCTTCTAACTCCAGTGTAATACAAGGCCTGGGAAGCAATAGTTTCATGGAGCAGAGATGACAAGGACTGGCCAGTTTTAGCTGAAAACTAAGGCAATGCTCACAGTCTTCCAAAGTCTTGGTCGGTCACTTTTTTGTCTGACAGCGGATGGGAAGAAGTTGCTCCATGCTCCTAGCATAGCCCAGTGGTGGGCAGAAGAACTTCTCCGCAAGTGAAGTGGTGAGTACCTCCTTCTGACATTGACATTGGTACAGGAGATGGATGGACTGGGGGGAACCCTGTGTTTTGGGAGTAGGCAAAAAGGTCCAGTGGAGGCTGCTCCAGAGGACCCAGGGCAGTAGCCTTACCCAGATTCCAAAACTGCCGTCTCTGCCTTTGCAGGTTGCCACCCAGGGGAAAGGAAGGACCCCAGAATTCACTGGATCCCAACACTGAGACTACCTCATGGGTGTGGGTTAGCTGGAATATACGCCCAGGGATTTTTTTTTAAGGACTCTATGGTGCTGAATCACAACTGTGCCATGTCTAACAGAGCAGCCTTTAGCAGCAGACCATGAGGAATGTCCCATTTATGCCTGGGCTCAAGTGGACATCTATCATCCAACATTTACCATCAGATACCTGCCCAGGAAAATTCCAAGCAGTGGTTATTTCTGGATTCCCTTTCTCAGAAGACAAAATAATTTTCCAGACAATTCCCATTGCTACTTGTTTCTTCACAGGCCTCCCTCCCACAACAAGAAGATGCTGAATTTGATCTCCAAAAGCCCTTAGATCTACACCATTTTCCTACTACCACAAATGGACTCCAAACAAGATGTTACTGCTCTTCAACAAACCCTTTCTCCTCAGATCCTTGGTCAGCCATAGCCCCAGAGGCAAAGTGTGCTGCTGTCCTGGCCAAGGCATGACGTGCCATCTTAGTGTTGCAATCCCTGCTATTTTCTCCAGGACACTTCACTTGTGGATAATGTTGTGCAGTCTGCACATCCCAACCCAGCTAACAGCACAAAGACCAGGTCAAGTAAGTGTGTTGCCAAGCTGTATCCTGGCACTGCCACGGGAGAGTGGAGCAGGTCCTGGGAGCCAAGAGGAGCACAGCTCAGTTGGGTTGTGGTGCCACAGATGGGGATGACATCTCACAGTTTGGCTCTGGAACGGGGTCCTTCTTATGGCCTCCTTCACCGCTGGTGCTGCTGTCACCACAGCTGTTGCTGGGATGGTGGCAGATTCAAGGATGGAGAGTCCCACCTCAACAGGGGCTCGTTCCACCATGTCCAGGCAGTCTGGAAGAGGGACTGTGGACCAAGGGAGTGTTAGTGCAGGAGAAATGGGCTTGGACACAGCAAGAGATGACCAGCAGCAGATTGTGGACAAGGCCCACATCACAGAGGTATACAGATCTGCCTGTCCCTGTGTACATGAGTGATGAAGCACCATCTCCTCCTCACGCTTGTTTAGTGCACCAACTTCATTCTCAAGGGGTTGGCAGGTGGCCGTAACTCTTGTTTCTGACGTTGTTCCCTCCTCTCTTTCAGTAATAAAGTCCCTAATGCTATCGTTTTACCTGTCTCTGTGTATTGTCTTACTGTCCTGAGACTTTGGCCACACGCTGCGTGCCCCCGGCATTGCACTCCTTTGCCTACGACCTTTGTGGGCTTGCAAACTGGGTTTCTTTGTGCTTTAGTGCCTTGAAGGACCCTGTCCTGTAGTGTGCTCAGAGGCGTGAGTAATGTCTCGCACACACCGGGAGCACTGATTTAGCACAAATCACAGTCAGTACCTCCTGCTCCACCCCCATACCAGCCTTGCCGTGTAGCTGCGTGGGTGACTGAGCCCGATTCATGTGCAAGTGAACTGAGCGGTAGGTTATTACATAAAAAGGAGGTGACAGTGCTGCTGCTTATGCTCACGGGCCATGGTTTGCGTGGTGGTTGTCATTTTTTAAGTGCGTGGGCTTGTAAAGCGTTGTGCCTTGACTGGTGTGCCAGGTGGGTTGTAAAGTCTGCAAGGAGGGGTAAAGTTTTTCCATTCAATCTCTCCAGCCTGTCCTGCTCAGTTTAGTTTCTCTCCCTCTGTGCTGGCTTTGGTGATGGCCATTGCTGGGCACCTACTTCTCCCCAGTCACCTTAAAGCTGCTGTTGTACTGGACATATTTAGGGGAGCTTCATTCCCAGAACTCAGGACCTACACATTTTTTGTTGCAGTGATCCCCTACCAGTCCCTTTTGTGGATCTGCCCTTGCATTTATGAGTGCAAGTTGTGTTACCTCTTCCTACAATTTCTGTAACCAGTTCATTATGAACATGTATTAGAGCTGTGCTTTGGTAGAAAGAAGTAGCCGGTGCCATGTGGGGAGCAGTTGCTGGCTCTCCGTTGTGATACACGTTTCTTTAAAGATGCCTGGGACACTTCACGGCCAGTGCTTGATACTCTTCCATGGTGCAGGATTCTAGCTGGTGTGTATATAGCACTATTTTCTGAAATCCAGTTCAGGTTTTCTTTGAACATTACAAGTAGTTATGTAAAGAAGCAGCATTTAGGACAAGGCTTGAATGTGATGTACTGCTGGAAGCAAGCCTGCAGGGGATGCTTGTAAATCAGCCACATACAGAGTCCAGGTGGTGAAGGATTGCAGTTGTCCAGTGGCATGCCCCTCGTCCGAAGTGGGGGCTGTAAATGCTGCTGTGTTTCTGTGTGCGTGCCTTTGGGGTCAACCGAACAGGGAGGGGAACACTTTTGCAGTCAGCAAACAGCTTTTTAAGCTACTGATTGTTGTTGTTGTTATTAAACGTGGAAAAAAGAAGCGGGGAGAAAAAGAGTTGGAGACCTCCCCACCTGAAGTTCAGGGGCTGATAATCCAGGGACACTTCCTATTCCTTTCTCCCCTTCCCTCACCTTTTCTTCCAGGCAGTCAGGTTTTAACTGTGCTGTTGAGTGTAACAGCAAGGAAGAGGGAGGGAATTATTCATTATACTAATTATATAATTAGTCAAAAGGAAAACAAAATGTTAAGTATTTCAGTGAGTATGATTAAGACAAGCATGAATTTCATGCTCTTTAAACCTTGATTTTTGGGGACTCATTGACTTTATGCCGGACTTGGAATGAAATCTGGAGGACAGTTTATTGAATTAGACTTTGCTCTGGTGAAGCCAGACACACGTGTGACAGAACTCTGCCCATCAAACTGCTCAGATGTAAATTACCTCCTATAATCAGAACTGGCTCGGGCAGGCTGTGGGGCAGGTTGCAGGGAAAACCTGCAGCACAGACCAGAGGATGCACCCAGCCCAAGGCTCTCAGGAGCAACGGAGACGTCGCTTTTTTCATTCATTTTTGCCTTACGAAATGCCCGTGAGCCTGTGGACGTGGAGTGTTATAGCGATTTTTCCCACGGGATGGATAAAGCTCAGTGTATGTTAACTCCATCTTCAGTATTTCCTTCATTCTGATACGAAATTGATTCCTGCCATGGGAGGAAGCCAGTGCATAAAGAATGGGATATTTGCCTGAACTTCGGAATGCCATTCAGTGTAATGGATGAGAACCAAATATACGCTGTCAGGCTTGCCTTTGACAAAATACAGCCAATCCTCTCTCTGCTTTTTTTATGCCTGCAGCCAAATGGTAGTTAGTTGTCTGTGCTGATGCTTAAAATCCTGGAGAGGATGAGAAATGCAGAATTACTACTTCTTGCCCTGAAGAATTTGGAGAGGCAGCTGCAATATAAAGGATTCTTTTCATTATATATTATATTATATTATATTATATTATATTGCTTTCATGCACATAGTGAGCCTGCTGACCTTGGATTCTTTGGAAAGCAGGCTGTTCACCCTGGTTTTCCTGTGTGCCAGGAGAAGGAGAAATGGTTTCCCTTACCATTGCCATATATAAGGAACGCTAAAGCAAGTGAACCCTAGGATCTAAGGCTGGTTTAAAGTAATTTAGAATATGCCACACTACTTGGGCAGTCCTTCATGACTCTGCTTTATAACATGACAGTTACTTTAGCAATACTTTTGTCTGGAAGAAATGGGGTATGTTCTTTTCCCAATAACAAACCAAGCTAGCAAGGCAGTCCAGGTAGCCCTTATCCTGGCAGCTGGGATATATCTTGTTTGAGCAGCACCCTGAGCTGCACCTTTATCTTCCTGCCATAGACGTACTGTAATAAATGATGTTACACAAGATAGCTGTAGTACTTGAAATAAACGTGCCAGTAAAATTCCTATAGCGGAGTGCTCTGGAAAGGGTGGTTGTTGGACACAGGGCAGCATCGCTGCCTTGGCTAAGCTGGGGCCTTCCAGTTTTTATTTTTCTACAAGAAGTGTATTTTTAAGGGAAAACTGAGATTCTTGCCTAACAGTCTGAATTTAGCAACCAACCCCTACGTTTGTAATACTCTTATGTCAATCAGGAGCTGGAAGGATCTGGTAAATCTTGTGTAAATTAATTTGTAAAACTGCAATGATTGTGAAAAGTGTGCTGAAGCAGACAAAAATTAGTAAGGGGCCACCTTATGCCCACGTAGCAAAAGATTATAGATAGATAGAAAAATCTTATACCATAACAGCTCTGCTTTAATAAAAAGCAGATTAACCTTGCAGTGTAAACAAAGAAAAGATAATTAACTGATGGTGTGTTATGTTTTGTTTTTTTTTTTCTTTTCCAAGGTTCAGATCATCCACACAGCCTGTCTTACAAACTGGAACTCGGATCAGACCAGGAAATACCTTCTGACTGGTATCCATTTGCTACTGTCCAGTTTGTTGTCCATGATACCTGTGCCTCAGGAACAGAAGTCAAGTCACTGGGCATAGAGAGTGATCTGCAACCCCAGAAACACGTAGTCCAGAAAGCTTTTTACAATTGCCAGGTATTCTCAGGGCTATGTTTTCAGTGTTTTCCTCCTCTTCTTCCTCCCCACTCCCCCATACAGTATTTGCAAAGCAGATGTGCTTTGTATTCTAAACATATCTTACATGTATTTGTGATAATGACTTTGAGCAAAAGAATCATTAAAAAATAATTCCTTGTCTGATCAAAGATGATGCTGAAAAACAGAACTGCTAATGCAGCGTTGTTTTTCCTCAGTTGAGCTATTTTTGGGAGTAGTGGTTTTGAAATCTGTTGGGTCTGGAAATGTTTTGATTCTGTGTCAAAGCTTTTATTCATGCTGTTGTTGCAGTTCACACTTTCAATGCCCAATTATTTGCTAATTCTACCTGTTTGTTTTTTTTTTTTTTTGTTTGCCTTCTAACTACAGGTTGAAATTGAAAAGAAGTGGATTAGGCTTGATGGAGAAGATCCAGATAAGGCTGGCAACTGCCTAATGCAGTAAAAGAGGACAGGAGGCACCGTCATAGGGTATTAGTAGGAATCAATTTACATAGGAAATTCTATTGTTAGAAGAAGCGCAGTGACCTAGTTTAGGATAAACGTGGTCATTGATTTTTTCTTTTTTTTTAGTGCTCTTAGGTTTGATTCCGCAAATCAGTACTTGTTTGACTGGCCTGCGTTCAAGAAAACTTCCTGTCATGGGAATACTGGTATGAGTAAGGTCTCCTTGTAAAGAGTTGCAGGATGTGAGCACTTAATTGACTGATTGTAATATATTATTTTCCTGTTGTGTATCTATAACTTGGGAATGATCTCATACTCCGTATTGAAACCTAATGGTTCTACTCAAAGAGTTCATGTCACTTGGACATATAATATTCAGCAATAAAAACTGCCAGAGTGCTTATGTGGAGACCAGCATCTGTGTAAGATCCAGCAGGACCTTTTTTTAATGGTGTTTGAAAAGTGAAGTCCCTCATGTTTCTGCTCCCCTTGATATATGTGAACAGAACAAGTTGTAATATTATTCTCGACAAGAGCCTCAATTAATGAGGTGGAAACTGGGTGATTTCATTGGTAAAATGGGAAAAGTTCCTCTGCAATAATATTCTTCATTTTTCTGTGGCTGCGAGTGTTTCCCCCCCAGCACTTTATAAGTTCACTCAAAGTAATCTCTTGGGCAAAAAAAACATATGGCAGATGTGATTGAAATTTCTGTGCCAGCATTAGACAAATCTTTTTCACTACTGCAGCAAGTGAGACAAGGGGTGGATCCTCAGCAAGCATAAATCAGTCCAGGCCCATTTCATTTGATGAAGCTGTGAGAATTTACACCAGTGGAGGATTTTCCCCACAAACTGAAGAAAGGGCTGGTTGCTGCTATTTGCTCTGGGTTTCCTTTAGGATGCAAATTCCAGATGTTGGTTTGGAAACTGCAGGAGCTGTTGCTTTGAGTAACTTTTAAGACAGTCTTTCCATGCATGGGAAGGGAGATGGTTTCATGCTACTGACTCTAAAGGCGTTTTCTGTGGGGAAACAATGCAGGAATGGACAATTGCAAGGGAAGTGAAGCTGTGACGCTTCACCAGGCAGCTTGAGCTATTAATCCTGTATCAATGTGTTAAGTGTATTTTAAATAAACTGTTGGCATTTAGGGAAAGGTTTTAATGCTTCCCCTCACCCATTATCCCCTTTGTCATTTTCTGTGGGCTGTAATTCCAGGTCTGACAAAGCCTGAGAAATTAAAAAAATGGTCCTGATACTTTTTTTTTTTTTTTTCCCCTGCAGTTTTCCTAAAATTACCCTCACTTCAAATTGAAATTACTGGAGAACAAAAATATAGTAATGCACTAAGTCTCACTTTATATTTTGTCACAGCTTGTAACTGTTTATATGAACACTGTGTAAAAATACAGATAAATGTTATTCCCCAAAAGTAGAAATATGTGGGATATGCACTGAGAAAATTACCAGTCTGAGCAAACAGAAGGCCATAATATGAACCTAGTTCATCACAATAAACTTTTCCCCCCATTTAGAAGCTGAGAATGAAATGGGTAATAGATTCCATAGTAAGTCCTGAGGGCAGGTTCTTTATGGGTATTGCATTGCCAAAGCCCCAAATAGACTATTATGGTATTTTGGCTTCTCTAGATATCCCTTTTTATTAGCAGATTATATTATTATAAATCTAAGCAAGCATTTGAATGTAGTAGTGATCCAAATACGTCTCAGCTGTTGCATCCTCCATCAGTGTTTTTACTTGAGGAGCCACTAGGACCTTCAAGTTGTTTGGTTTGTTTTGTTCGTATTTAATTTTGGTTTATATACTTCTCAGCTGAACTAAGGGCCACAGCGTGCGCTAGGGCAAAGTGTTTACGCTTAGCATCACAGCAGAGCTCTACAGCTTGCTGAAGTCCATGGTTATACTAGAGCTACAATATCTATTAACCTCTTTGCTTGGTAAGGTAGAGGAAGCAAAATATGTGTTGCAGATACCTGCACTAACCTTTGTCTGAGGCTGACTTGTTTTGATCGGCATTAATACAGCTAATTCAGTAAATCTGTTAGCAGTGGTTATTGTCCAAAGCCTGCCTTACCCAGCTGGCCCCTATTTTTCTGTTTTTAAGAAGGAGGGACAGCCAGGCTGTTCTGGAACTCTTTCACCGCAGGATCCCCATTTGCAACACTCATCTCCTGAGCATTCGGTACCTGGTGGTGGTACGGGTCCTGCAGAAGCAACGGCTGCTTTTCTTCTGTCAGGTGTCTGCTGCATCTCAGGATGTATTTAAGAAGCCCATGTAGTGTTGACCCCTCAAGATACGAGCTATTGTCTTGAATGGCCTAAGTGATGAACAGCCACATTACAAGTCATCTTTCCAGCTAGTGTGTCTGTATTATATCTGGTATGGTGCAAATGATCATTCAGCCTTACTGAACTCATTAACATAAAAGGGTCAAGCTACAGCTTTATCTATATTGCAGACTCTTGGATTTCCATCTGAGGCCTGCAAGACTTGCCATTAACTTTAATCGGAATTGGATCAGGATCACAGGGAATTAATTCCACAGAAATATTGCCACACTGAAAGAAAGTTACTCTGTTTAATGCATGGCTTTCAGTTTAAACCTGACAATTAGTGCAGCCTAAGGCTGAATAATTACCCTGTACAGTCTCAAACTGATGTTTGTATGCCTCGCTGTCAGAATATTTAAAAACAGGCTATAGTTTAGTGAAAGAAAGTTTGGGTTGTCTAACTCTTTTTCCCCCCATCAAATTCTAACTTCCTATTCTATTGCAACATGCCAAAGCAGAAGCACTCTGGCTTCCCCTTTCTTCTGCATTGTCTGACGTCCTTGAGTATAACCGACTGAACAAATATTCTCAATATTTAAGACCCTTTGCTAACATTTTCTACGAGCGCTACAGCAGGTGACAGTGAGTAACCATACTGGCTTTGATTCTTTAGAAATCTGGGCTATAAGTAGTCTTAACTGTAATTTTGGGAGGGGAACGGAGATGAGGAACAGTTGCTTTAAGCTGTTGTGATGCTCAGTGTCCAACTAGCAGAAGGACTGCAGCTTTAAATAACCCATGAGGTACATTGGCATCATGCGAGGAACCAGGTTTCACATGTATCTGATCTCTGCTTCCCACAGCTAGCGTCTGCAGTCACAGAAATGCTTCCAACTGTTTGGGTCACTTAAGATGCTGACACTTCGTTAACATTTACTACGGGGCAGTATTTAGGTAGTATCTGTGTTTCCTTCACAAAGGACCAGAAGGGTTTGGGATATTTTATAATTTAAACCGAAATCAATGAGAACAGCTATTTTTATAGTGTGTTTGCCTTATTTACAAAGTGTTGTATTTGCTGAAACCAACAAACTTTATCTTTGCATTCATCTTTCTCATACTAATTGTATTACTGTAGGTAACTGGTACTTGATGTGATTTTGGATTCAAACACCCATTGAACTCAATGGAAGTCTTTTAACTGACAAAATGGGATCTGCATCAAAGTCTCTAAGAATAAACGAGAGGCAAAAAAAAAAAAAAAAAAAGGAATGAATAGTGGTAATGGGCAGAAAAAAAACACTGTAGAAGATTCTTGATGCTAGTAAGTAAGCAACCTGCAATGCTTGCTTATTCCAACCAGAAAAGAGCACAAAAGAGAGGAAAAGAGGTGTTACTGGGCATCAAAGCTGAAGCTTTGCAGCGATTGGGAACGATGGTCTGGCTGCCCCTGTGTAGCAGCTCTTGAGAAATGAGGATGATGGTGCACTCCATTGAACATGATGCCAAGCCTCTGTCATCCTTACGCTCCTTGCTTTTTTTCCTCAGATTCCGTATTAATTGTCCAAAAGTACTTTACATCTGAAAACGTGTTTTCACATGTTGCTTTTAGTTGCATTTATTTTACTTGATGGACTTAGCTGCAGTATTGGTGTCCACACCTCTATTTTACATTTATTTGTCTTTTTGTTGACTAAACACAGTGACTAACTGCTGCAGTTAGTAGTTCTTAGCTATAATTTTGATAACTCTGAAGCAGTGCTGTTATTTTTAATGGAAAATATAATTTTGTTTGGTTCTTTCGTCAGTATAAGTATAAACAGATCATGCTGATAATCTTGTAATAACATTTTGTAGATTGCATATTGATTAAAAAAATAAAGTTGTATTTCAAACTAGCAGTTTCTTGTCCTCTCACTAGAAATTTATCAAGCTTGTTTTACATTTACTATAATTAACTGGTTGATCTTGTATCATCAGGTATTGCAGTTTATTAGAAAGGGCAGTTCTAGGCTGTGTGTGAGTGGGGGACATCACTCCTTGTCTGAGATAAAGCTAGTTGCTGAAAGCTGAACAATGTACTATATTCCATTAATGATCATTTATGGCAGGCCCTTTTCCTGGCTTATTTGCATAACAATAGTAAGCCAAAGAATACCATGTTTTTTCCTGTTGAGTGCTTCCTCTGATCTCTCTGGGATATTTGAATATAATGTAGCGACAACTGTTTAAGACTTTCACAAATTTCAAAGCCTGTTCTTGAAATGAGCTGTTACTAGGGAAATAGTGAAACCTCTGCGGGGAAATAGTGGAATAAGGCAAGGGTTTGTGGGGCAGCATCCAAAGAATGGGCTTAAAGTATAAAATAACCATGCCATTTGTCCTATGCTGCTGCCTCTGTAGCAAACCCGTCAGCTATTCTGGGATACACTGGGAAATACAGTTAACATCCATTTTCACTTCACTGGAGTTCTGTCCTTCAGTGAGCACCTGCATGTGGAAAGCAGTTGTCTAATAGAAGTACAGACCCCTTCCAGAGCTTAAACAGTTTGCAATGTTTAAAAGTATCAGTGAACAATATGATTCAGGTACATGAAAAAGTAAGATGGTAAATTTCTAGATTACAAGTAAAAACATGAAAACATTTATTTTTGAGACCGGTTCCTAGTATGTGCTATGCCTAGTCTGTGCTATTTTATAGCCCTGTTCCTTCTTTAGTAAAAACAACCTGTAATTTTTTACAATAACAATCATAACACGTAAGTGATGTTCACACTCCCTGCTGAAGCCTTACCGGTAGAAATAAAAGAAAAAGCATTGGCTCAAATTCTGTTTTGCCATCCCACAAAAGCCACAGAGATTAGGTATTGCTGGTTGTGGGTAGGTACAGTCTAGCATTACATTGCATTGTGATGGTCTTTTCTGTTTAATATAGAATAACTTTCACTTCCATTTCCATAGTCAACAATAGAAGTCTGGGGGGAAAAAATCAGAAGCGAGGATGTGCTGGGAGTGGAAGAGACCCACAATGAGTGACTGGCAGCGGAGGTAAGAGGGAGGAGGCAGGGAGTGAGTTGGCAGAAGGAAAGAGCAGCAGGCAGAGCTTGTCTGCAAGGGCTAAGGAGAACTGCTGCCTCTCTAAGTCAAGGTGAAAAGTTTCCCTATAAAAGGGACTGAAATAGAAAAACGGCGCAGAACCCATGC